CCCTGGGGAAAAAACCCATATTTGTGATTTCTAGGGCAATATTCCTGACGTAGAATAGCTCTGTAGAGCATGTCTCATGCTAAGACTTTAGTGGAACCCTGTAATGTTAGTGCTACGGTTGTTTCTACCCAGCCAAATAGCTGTAACTACAATCTGCTACACAAGGTAATAGTTTATTTTGAAGCTGTAATACTCTGAGCTACCACATGTCATGATTCATAGAAAGCCAAAGGTTCTCCCTCCCCTGATCAAAGACTACCTGTGACCAAGCCCGTAGCCAGGAAATTTACAGTGGGAGGGCACTGGGAAAACTGGTGGGGCGTTCTCCAGTGCCTCCAATGACCAATCATGCGCTTCCCACCCCCCCCCCCCCCCCCCCCCCGTCCTCTGTGTGCCAAGATCTTGCTCCAAAAGCCTCCCCCCCCCCATGCTCCCTCCAAGCAGCTCTTTCGGTTCAGGCACAAGGCTTCTCCGCCCCCCACCTTCTTTCCCCAGATCTCTTTAAGAAATCATAAATGCACCTTCTTTGCTGCAACCACTCAAAAGTCAAATTCCTCCTCCGGCCTGGCTTTTTTCAAGCTCTGCATGCCCCAGGCTCCCTCCCCCATCCCTGCCAAAGCAAGGAAGGAAGGGCTTTGAGCCAGCTATGGGGCTGGCGGTGGCCCAAGGCGGCACAGCTTAGGAAGCCTTGCAGGGCAGTGGGGTGGGGGGCTTTGGGGAGAACGTCTGGTGGGACTTTGGGGTACATGATAGGGGGCTCAGCCCCCAAAGCCCCACCACTGGCTACAGCCCTGCCTGTGACAGAAGAAAAGAGTAAGAGTCCAGTAGCACCTCAAAGACTAACAGAATTTATGGTAGGGTATGAGCTTTCGTGAGCCGTGAGTCACGAAAGCTCATACCCTGCCACATATTTTGTTAGTCTTTAAGGTGCTACTGAACTCTTACACTTTTCTGCTGCTACAGACAGACTAACACGGCTATCCCATCTTGGGCTACCTGCGACAGAGTATAGTTTCTCTGGAGAAGACTAAAAATGAGATATCTTTGCAATCACCCAGTAGTTTGCAAATGCATAGGTGACGTAGGATTGTGAGTGAGCTCTGAATAGAGCTGGTCTAAATGCAACATCAGCCCAGCAACCTGAAACCCTAAACAAGTCCCCTGCCAACTAAATAAAACAATTGCTGCTGAATCAAAGATGTTATGTGGGAACCAAGCAGGCAGTTGGGTGGAGAGGATGATGGCAGCTTGCCATGTGGTGAAATGATAGGTGGTCATTTAAACTCAGACATTTGCATGGGACCTGTTACGAACTGTGTGACTGACAAAATGTGTGTGTGTGTGTGTGTGTGTGTCTTCTTTGAGAAGGCCATGCAGTGGGGCATTGATTAACCGCATTCACAAGAGTGGATTCCCCGTGAATCATTTTAATGAAACTATGACCCCAGTGTTACCTTGCTGAGGAAAACCATGAAGTGTGAAGAGGCCGATGGGCCTGCCAGATTCTAGATTCTGCTCCTTGTCTGAGTGCTTCGGTGGTTCTCTGCGGTCCAAGAGAGGGCAAGAATGTTTCAGTGAGCTGACCCTCAAGAAAGCTCTCAACAAGTTCATATACAGATGAACAATCCTCAGGCTGCAAAAGATACAATCTAGAAAACAGTTTCCTGAGAGTAAGCCCATTGAATAAAATGGGACTCCTCACAGCAGATCTGTCATCTGATGGTTCATGCCTCCTCTTTGTGCAGAATTACCCAGTCTAGGGAGGCATTCCTTCCTGGCTTTCTCTTCCTATGCCTCTGTATCCCCTCACTTAAACTATTGGCTGCCTTATATGTGTTTTCATTCTTTAATGTCCACTCTGTTAACCTTGCTAACAGGAAATGCTCGTTGCCAGCATAGCATTGACAGAACAAGTAGAGGACAGGACTTGACTGGTACTAGTGAATGAGCAACAGGCATGATGTTTGTGCAGCCATAGTAACCAGAAATGAATATAGCAAGTTTAGTGGCTTACAAGTGAGGTTTGGTGTAGGGCTGAGGAAAGGCCTTGGTTCACTTATAATATTTGTGTCATGTGAGACTGTTCTTAGAAGTTATGACCGACCTTAATTGAAGAGAATGCCTTCTAGTTTAGCAACATGCTTCCATAACATGAAGGTTTACATTTAAATTTTGTTTCAGTTACACTGTTTAGTGTTTTAATGTTTATTGTTGATCAGATTGTTTTTATATTGTTTTGATATCATTTGTACCCACCTGAGAGGGTCAGGAGAAAAGTGGCTATATGTTTTAAATAAATATTAGTGGCTAAGCAACCATGAGGTATAGCAGCATATTTTTATCCATTTTATTTGTTTATTTACATTACTTATAATCTGCCTTTCTCACAGGGTCTCAAGGTGTATTACACATAGTAAGGCAATACAGTCAACAAAATGGGACATTCAGTAAACAAAGCATTAGGTTTGTAGAAGACTGGAACCTGTCAGGAAGAACTGAAGCGTAGCATAAAGTTTAACACGACACATTAAGCAGTGCAATAATTACATAATAGGATGCTACTTACAGTAAGGTATACACAGCAGTACAGACCACAGTACTGCTAATAATTTATCCAAGTAAGTTTGTGAACCATTCTGTACAGTGCAACCCTATTACTTGTGCAGAAAAAGCCCTCTTGAATAATTCAGTGTTGCATGGTTTTCAGAAAGCCAGGAGAGTGGGAGCCTCAGGCAGACCGTTCCATAAGGTAGGAGTCACAATGGAGAATGCATGTGTATGGTAGGATTAACAGATGTCCTCTTTTTTTTGAGGACGTGTCCTGTTTTTTTTGGTGTCCATCCTCTTTTGGGCTCTTTTTTAAAAAAAAACTGATGAAAATGTCCTCTTTTTGGGTTGGAAGGTTAGGAATATTTCTAGTTAGTAGCAATTGCCACAGCTTAAATAGTAGGGGTATTTAAAATGAGATTTGTCATAGTGATCACTTGATTGAAGTAGTCAGTCGGGAAATATGTCCTCTTTTTTTGCTTTTCAAAATACGTTAACCGTAGTGCACAAGCAGTTGTTCATTTGGCCCGATTGCAGGTTGGCACCTGCAGAAGACCCTGCTAATATGAGTGACGCTGATGTGGTGAAACGGAGGGGGAAAGGCAGTCCCACAGATAAGAGGGACCAAGGTCAAGAAGGGCTTTGTATGTGATGGGCAATACCTTAAACTGAGCCCAGTAACAAATGGGCAGCCAATGGAATGTCTGTAGAATGGGAGTAATATGCATGCTCTGGATAACTCCTGAGAATAGCCAAGCTGCAGCATTCTGTACCAGCTGGAGTTTCTGAACTGGCTTTGATGGGAAACCAGTGTGTAGGGCATTACAATAGTCTAGTCCTGATGTTGCTGTGGCATGGATCCATGTGACTAGATTAGCTGTATCAAAGTAATCATCTTACAGTCTAGGCTGAGTTGCTGGAAAACATTTTTTGCAGCTGCATTTTGTTTCTCTAGTAATAAAGCTGGATCCAATATAACCCCAAGGCTTTTAACTAAGCCAGAAAGGGTCAGCTGAGCTCTATCAAAAGTGGGCAGAGCAATATCCTTACAGGGGCTGAGTTATGGCCCCCCAAAGAAGGCACTCCCATCCATTGTTTCCAGTGGACGAAAAAAAGCCCAACAAAAAACCCCAAGGGCAATAGAAGCCCAGCAGAACAGAATCAAAGTCCCAGAGAATATCTGCAGTAGAAACTGAAGGTGGGGGGGGGAAGCATTTTTGCAAGTCCAGCAGAACCGGTGCAGTGTACTAGTGCCCAGCAGTACCAGTGCAATCAAAGAGTGCCCAGCAGAATCCAGTGCCATTGTGGCAATGCCAACTCACCAGGATGAATGTTTAGCACAGAATCACACTCCAAGCAAGGGGGAGGGGTTGCAAGCTCAGCAGAACCCAGTGCCATTGTGGCAATGGCAATGCCAGCTCAACAGGACTGATGTGAAGCACAGAATCACAATCCAAGCAAGGGGGGGTTGCAAGCCCAGCACAACCAGTTCAGTGTACAGAATGCCCAGCAGCATCCAGTGCCGCTGTAGCAATGCAAGTAAAAGAGGACTAATGTCAAACCAGAGGATCCCTGCAGTACAAACTGAAGGGCGGCATTTTTTTCAAACCCAGCACAACTAGCTCAGTGTACAGAATGTCCAGCAGAACCCAGTGGCACTGCAAGCTTAAAAGGAGTGATCTCAAAGCACAGTGTCACAAGAAATCCAAGTGGTTTTTTTTTTTTTGCAAACCCTGCACAGCCCCCAGTGCCACTAGCATCACAAGCTTAAAAGGCCTGCTTTCAAAGTCCAGAGTCACAACATATCCAAGGCGGGGGCCGGGGGGCGGGTGTAAGCTCTGTGCAAGAAAATGGGAAGGGAACATAAAAGGAAAGCAGGCAAAGGGGGCCCTCTTGAAACTGACAAGACTAGCTTGAAACTGACAAGAGTATTTCCAAGGCTGGAGAATTCCCCAGCCTTGTTGCTTTGAAGTTTGGTAAATATTTTGTTTGAGCAGAGACAATCTGGAAATTTATCTATTCATGAACTTCCACTAACTGCTTGAAAGTTCGTGGAAAGTTTGTGCCGGTTGACCTGCCACGATCTTCAGTTTGCAAACCATGAACCAGCCAAAATTTGTCACGAACATTAGTTCATGAGCTGGTTCATGCCCATCCCTACTTCTCAAACTGAAGTCAGGGGATCCTCGGAGCCCATGATGGTACTACAAGGTGTCTCAAGTGCAGCCCAGCAGTATGTGTTGGTTCCCCAACAGGGCAAATAGCAAACTTCAAGCTGTTCGGGTTGGAAAAACAGTACCTGGAACTCCTAGCACACATCTACTTGACAGGACCTGGGAATGGACTTTGGAATAGCATGTTTTGTTGTTAGGCCATAATGGTGAAAAAGGGGGGAAACAGTTCTAACCTCCATTTTCATCTTTCTCTCCTAGGATGCAATACCATACTCCAGGATGAATGAGTGCCACTATGATAAACGGATGGACTTTTTTTACAACAGGAGTAAGACACACACTGCAGATGAGTGGTCAGGGACAACTCTTGTCATTGTTTTATGCTTTGGGACTTTTTTCTGCCTCTTCATTTTCATCTCAAATTCCTTGGTCATTGCTGCTGTGGTCAAAAACAAGAAGTTCCACTTCCCTTTCTACTATTTGCTAGCCAATCTAGCTGCTGCGGATTTTTTTGCTGGCATTGCTTATGTATTCTTGATGTTCAACACTGGTCCAGTGTCCAAAACGTTAACTGTTAACCAATGGTTTTTACGCCAAGGACTTCTGGACACCAGCCTGACGGCTTCTCTGGCCAACTTACTAGTCATTGCTGTTGAGCGGCACATGTCCGTGGTGCGGATGAGTGTTCATAGTAACCTCACAAAGAAGAGAGTCACCTTTTTCATTTTGTTGATATGGGCCATAGCTATTTTCATGGGTGCAGTGCCCACCTTGGGCTGGAACTGTCTCTGTGACATTTCAACATGTTCTTCCTTGGCACCTATTTACAGCAGGAGCTACTTGATATTCTGGACAGTCTCCAACCTGGGGGTTTTCTTCATCATGGTGGTGGTGTACATCAGAATCTACATGTATGTCCAGAGGAAAACAAATGTTTTATCTCCTCATACTAGTGGATCCATGAGCCGCAGACGGACTCCAATGAAGCTTATGAAGACTGTTATGGCTGTGTTAGGTAAGATAATTGTATCCATCGTCAGGTTTGTTGAAAAGTCTGGCATTTTGGCTGAATCTTCTGTGGTTATGGATTCTTAATTCTATTTGCCTTCCTGCTCTTTATGTGATTAGTTCCTAGTCGCTTCTTTTATGATCCACTATGGGAAGGAGATACTTGACTGCATCCTGCAGAAGATGTACCTGTCGAGTTTGGTGTAGTGGTTAAAAGTGCCAAACTCTAATCTGGAGAACTGGATTTGATTCCTCATCCCTCCACATAAAGCCAGTTGGGTGACCTTGGGTTAGTCACAGCTCTCTCAGAGCTCTCTTAGCCCCATGTACCTTACAGGGTGTCTGTTGTGGGGGGAGGAAGAGAAGGTGATAGTAAGCCGCTCCAAGACTCCTTCGGGTAGTGAAGGGCGGGGTATAAAATGCCTCCTCCTCCTCTTATTCTTCGACATAGTGATGCTTGTGTGTTTTCGATTCCATTTTTGTGCTGCTGCCGCCCATCTTATCTATGTTTAAGAGGACAACGTAGCTCCTGAGTTGATCTTAGCCCTTGATTACATGCTCGCTCTTGTGAATGACACCCAGTATTAATTTTTGAAATATCTCTTTGATCAAACTGTTCAGACTGCTGACTAAGGGTTTATCAACCTGAGAGAGTCTCACATTCCTAACTAGATATTATTGTAAAACTGGGAATACGAGCCATAGCAACTTTCCTCAAGTGCTCCATGTTGTCATGGTGGCCTGCACATTCTTTCTTTTTGGGACTACACCATTCATGCTGAGGCCAAGCCTGGCCCACAGGACCCTCCCCTTTCCCGCTCACCTATGCTATGTGGACTGTTCTAGAATAGGTACTGGTCAAACCAGACTCACTGACTCAGCATGTCAGAATTAGGAATAACTATTTATTTATTTAGTTCATTCATTTATACCCTACCTTTATCCCCAGTAAAGGATTCAGAGCAGATTACATTCTTCTCCTCTTCTCCCGTTTATCCTTCCAGCCCTGTGGGGTAAGTTAGGCTGAGAGTATATGAGTGGCCCAGGGTCACCCAGCAAGCTTCCATGGCAGAGTGGAGATTCAAACCTAGACCCAAATCCTAGTCTGACATTCTGATCACTACACCACACTGGTACCAGCTTTTTGGAGGTCTCTTGAGGCCACTGGGAGAAGGGAACAGTGTGAAATTTCTGCATCTACTTGTAGTTTGGTGTAGTGGTTAAGTGTGCGAACTCTAATCTGGGAGAACTGGGTTTGATTCCCCACTCCTCCACCTGCAGCTGCTGGATGACCTTGGGCAAGCCATAGTTCTGTCAGAGCTGTTCTCTCAAGGACAGTTCTGGAAAGAGCTCTCTCAGCCCCACCTACCTCACAGGGTGTCTGTTGTGGGGAGGGGAAGGGAAAGGAGTTTGTAAGCTGCTCTGAGACTCTGAGTGAAGGGCAGGGTATAAATCCAATCACTTCTTCTTCTAGTTTGTAAAATACAGCCTCCGTATGAAAAGCTCTTTGGACACTGAATGCAGTATCTGTAGTAGCAGAAATAGTAGTCGTAAACATGTGTATGGGCTTTGGCATATTGCAAGAGTCATTAAAATATCAAGATGAGCTTTTAATGACAATAAAAACCTGCGATTTTTCAAACCAGTATCTCAGTGCTGTACCTATTATATTAGTCCTGTGATAAATGCGTGGTTTTTTAGTGGTATATAAAGGTTACCATCTTCATTCCTAATCTTTCTGGAGCTCATGCTTTCATCTCCTCCTAATCTTTTTTTCCTCATTGCCTAATGTCTGACAACCTTTTGGGATGTCATTGTGGTACTAGTAACCTTTCATTCTGATACATGATTTGGAGAAACCCTTAGAAAAGTCACACTGACAGTGTCTGATTTCCATTCCCATTTGATTTAGGAATCTTAAATGCAAGCTCTTTGTTAAGATTTGTTCCATTTTGGATGCCACTTGTTGAGCAGATATTCCAAACCGCAAACCGCGATGAGATGGTCCTGCATGCTGTATGTTTTAGTCTCCAGTCCATCAGGCACCAAATGGTATGTTTCATAGCTGCATCTGTAATAGCCATTCTTTTAAGCAGAGAACAAAATGAGGCATTGCTCTGTCATGAGGGAGAAATTCCTGTCCTTATTATAACGTTCTGAGATAGCAATATGGGGGATGCCTCTGTTTCTCCCAAAAGAGTTTACAAAATTAGAGCAGTTATCTTTCATTTATGCCCATCCAAGGACACACTTCAGTCTGGCCTCTGACTTGCTCTGACAGGACTTTGTTTTCCTGAAAAAGTAACTCAATGTAAAAACAATACACCAGCATTGGATCTAAATATTACTTGGCAAAGACAGTGCACTGAAATGTAGCCTAGGCCTCCAGCATATAGTCTTTCCATTGTGAGATGTGTTTATTGTTACACTGACCCAAATCCAGCATAATATTAATCCATTTGTAATTCTGGCCAACTGGTGCTATCACATTTACATCCCTCACCAGGTCTTGAGCATTACTCACTCTGTCTCTCTCTCTCATTCTCTCTAATATGACAGTAAACACACTCAAGGATTGATAGCACACCGGCCCATAGCCCAAGTGTATCCCGTGTAATATTTCTGTGAGGCCTGTGACCATTGTGTTGGAAGGTTGAAAATCCAGGTTCTCAGTTTCTAAAGAAAAGGTAGAAAATATAGTTTCAGTGGGGCTAAATTCTTAACAGAGAGAAATCCTCTGCAGAGTTATTCCAGCCCATTAATTGATTCTAAGTACCTTGTTTGCTTAAAGCAACAAAACAAAGCTAGAATCTTGATGCAGTTCTGAGCTTTTAAGTCCATTTTGATTTTTGAAGTACTAATGGGAGTAATCCTGGGACTGTGCAGGTGACACCTAGGGTTGCCAAGTCGACTCACCCCTCGGAGCGGGGGAGCCTCGCCAGGGTCCGGGAGTTCTCGATGGACGCGCGCGCCGGCAGCACGTCACAGGAAGTGACATGCTACGTGCTCACATTGGGGGCGTGGCCCCATTTGGCAACCCTAGTGACACCTCGGCTGGCAACAAGTTCCCATGTGTCAGCCACAGTGACCCGAATCATGAAAATGCAGAGCAGGGGTTCTTTATCAACTTTTCAACCCAAACTCACAGTACAGTCCTAGTGGAAGAAGGATTGCACTAGTCAGTCTGTTTAGGATTGCACTGGTTGTCTATAGTATGTTAAGAAAGTCAGATTTCTTGTATTCTAAAGTTTTTCCTTGCCAACTTTAAAATTATTGTTGGATAAATTGGGAGAATTCAGCAAAGAAAAGGTCTGGTTATACAAATAATGGCCTTTTTTTGCCATCAAGTCACAGCTGACGTATGGTGACCCCATAGGGTTTCCCAAGGGAGGAGATGTCCAGAGGTGGCGTGCCATTCTCTGCCTCTGCGTAGTGGCCCTGGTATTCCTTGGTGGTCTCCCATTCAAATACAAACCAGGGCTGACCCTGCTTAGCTTCCAAGATCTGATGAGACCAGGCTAGCCTGAGCCACCCAGGTCAGGGGTGGATGGCTAAGCTGGAGTAGTTTTCCAGAGTGCTTCATTTACATTGTTTAAATTGTTGTTCTGTGAAAAGTAGGCCCCATGTTGTTCTCCTCATATTCTTTATCTGTCTGGTATATTTTTTTCTCACCCTTCCCCCAAGGACTTCAGGGAAGCATACATTGTGCTCTCCTCTCCGTTTTATCACAATAACCCTGTGAGGTAGGTTAGGCTGAGAGCGTGTGGCTGCCTCAAGGTGACCCACTGAGTTTAATAAAAGAGTGGGAATTTAAACCCTGGTATCCCAGATCTTGCCCTGATCTGGATGGTTCAGCTGGTTTCCAAAAAACACAAATCTGAAGAAAATGACTGCTTCAGTGGGTGACCTCTATGGCACTATAACCCCCAGAGGTCCCTCCCCTCTCCACACCCCGTCCTTCCTAGGCTGCACCCCAAAATCTCCAGGAATTTCCCAGATCAGAGTTGTTAGATATCAGAAGCTAAGCAGGGTCAGCTCTGGTTACTACTTGGATGGAAGACCAGTGAGGAAGTCCAGGGTCACGACACAGAAGCAGGTGATGGCAAACCACCTCTGAATATCTCTTCCCTTGAAAACCCTCTGGTGTCACCATAAGGCAACTGTGACTTGACACCATTTCCTACCACCACCATCCCAGACCTTAGTCCAACTCATTAACTACTGTGCCATAGTAGCACTCCTACTTAGAGACAAGGGGCTGAGACTGCAATAGAGCAATCAGCTCAGTGAAAAATTAGGAGAAGCTGGCCCTAAGAACAACTTTGTCTAAGAAGGGAGCAGACCCAATTTAGCTGTTCTTTAGTATTCACTAGTTGATAAAAAAACAGAGGAGTTAAGCAAGGATGCATTCTTGCTCTGCTGTTATTGAATTTGTACCTTAATGACTTAACTTCTTATATATCTGGAAGTGAATTTCATCCACCTTGCCTGGCCCATGTTAAATCACCCTGTCTCTTATATGCAGATGATACTGCCCTTTTGTCAAGATCCGTTGTCAGCCTACACAAACTTATAGGCTCCTTCTCAGAGTACTGTTCCAGTGAGGGCATGGTTATTAATGTTGCTAAGGTTCTTCTTTTTAGTAAAAAATGGAAGACAAAGAAGTATAAGTGGTCAATAGCATTTAAAATATTTAGGAATCATCTTTTAAGCAAATCTTTCCTGGAAGGTGCACTTGAATACTGCCGTTAGAGCTGCTATGAGTACTGGGAGGGCCATCTCAAGATTCTATTATTCCACAGGTGGCCAATATGTTCCTGTGGCAGTCAAAGTATTCAACACTAAAGTTACTGGGCAGATGCTGTATGCTGCCGGGGTCTGGATCAGTGCAGTAACAGACAACATCGAAAGACCTCTATCAAGATTCATAACCAATATTCTGGGAACCCCTCAGTGTGTGTCTGGAATAGCCCTGAGAGCCAAAGTTGGGGAGATGTCTTATGAAGC